CGATCGCTATGGTCTATATTTCATGGGTCTTCTATTACTTCCTTTCCTCGTCCACCTTCAAAAAAAGAACTGCAGTCATTTGTTTTCCCTCGCCTACGCCTTCAGTCCATCTAACTACGTTCTCCATCGTTTTGTCGAGGTTCATTATAAGAGAAGAGAAAAAGAAAAAAAAATGGAAAACATACAGGCGTGTCAATGAAGATTTTTAAAGTGTACTAATAAAATACAGTGTTTACGTTCTGGTCCGCTTCGTACATTTTCCCTATTGTTATTTTTCGTTTATATTACGTAAGTGATGAGTGTTTCTTCTCGATCGTAGAAAAGAAAACGGCAATAAATAATATCCATCAACAATCTGGAGACTCAACCGAAAGTCGCATTCAATTCGTTTTATATTATGAGAATTATATATAAAAATCACAAAATTGTTTCATTTTTAATATCGATTCGAGAGATAGGCTGACGATTATAAGGTGCTCTTATAATAACTAATATTTTTCTGTATTTATGACGAAAAAGAAGATTGTAAAGCGAGTAAGGCTTTAATACCGGAACAATACGCTTGCTTCATTAGCCATCTCGTCAAATTCTTCATTATTTTGCAATTGATCGTGTATTCAGACGTCGCCAAATCATTAAATCGTGAATTTCGGGCTCTCGTTTAGAAATCTTTCAATTAATTTTAATTTTTATTATGTTCTTCGAAAATTATAATTAGTTTTTATTTTTATTATGTCGATCAGTACATTTACAGTACAACTGTAATCGATTTTACATTGTTCTGTTGAAGGCAAGCGAATCGTTGCAGCATTCAATCCCAATATAGCAAGTGCAAAAGAAAAACCGTGAAATTCTCTCTTTCTTTCTTTCTTTCTTTCTTTTTCTCTTTCTGGTGGTTTAATAAAATAATACCGCACTCTCAGAAAAGAATTCTAGATACAATACTATTAGGATCGAAATAGGGCCAATCATATTTAGTATTGAAAGAAGAATATTTTAATCTTAAATAAAGGAATTCTTAAATTAGACTTCTAGAAAAAAGAATATTTTAATCTTAAATAGAGATATTCTTAAATCTAGAATAAAATAATCTTGATGCTATCCCTCTAATTTTCTCAGAATTATTCTAGATTCAAGAATTCCTCTATTTAAGATTAAAATATTCTTCTTTTAATACTAAATATGATTGGCCTTATTTCGATCCTAATAGTATTGTATCTAGAATTCTTTTCTGAGAGTGCGAGGACCCCTTTTTCTCTCTCCAGCTTAAAAGTTTACTCGTCGAAACCGTAATATTCCCGTTCTCGACGACGCCGTTTTACCGACGCACACAGGTCATTCGCGACTCGTAAATATATTGTTATACAATTACTGCGAGAACGTAAAACGCACGTGTATATACCTATGCCATCTCGACGTGTATGTTTAACCCGTCGTACTTTTCCCTTTTTTTGTCTCTTTTTCTTTTCTTTTTTTCTCTTTATGAGAATCGCGATCTCGACACGCACTGCCTTATGCATTCCTCATCTTTAATCTTCCGCATGTAGTTGCAGAAGTACGAAGAAGAGAAGATGCGATTTATCGATCCGTTTTGTAGCTCGCCGTCCGCAGTCCGCTTCCATTCCTTTCCGACCCCGCGGTGATGGCGATTAAATTAAATTAGGGCACCTCTTCCATCGGTCGGCGATACGAAAACGAAGACGATATTGCTCTAGATCTAGATTACTCGTGAAGGGAAAGGAGAGAGGGAGGAAGGAAGAGATATGCGGAACACTCTCTCGTGGAATATGCGACTGCAATGCAATTTCATGCACAGGATATTGCGTAATATATATGGAGAGGTAAAAGGCATAGTGGTGTAAGTCAAATTTTTTAAGACATTGATTCGTGTGCATAAATGCAATCTATACAATATATAAATTGCATCTATGCACACACGAGTGTGCCACTATGGCTTTTACCCCTCCATATGTCGAGCGGTCGGTGGTCGAGAGCATCAGACTCCTAACACTTTCAGAAGATGTAGGATATATCGAAAGATATATTTGCGATATAGGCTGTCTCGGAGAGGTGTAAATTAGTAATAGAATGTTATCCCCCGTGTACAATTCACGATGCTTCTTCCCCTTCTTTAGGAGAAAATAAAGTCACGCAATAATTTTTCTCTCTTGTAATTAAAACATCGCTCACGAAAATATTAATAAGTAAGGCATTTTTCGATATATTTATTATGTAATTAGTTGAGGTCGTGTGAAGCTGCACTTGATTTGTGAGCTTAAGTAAGATAATTGTTAATTAACGGCATGTTACAAATAGATAATTTTCTGTTATCGGCTTAAGTTTTGCAGCATAAATAAAAGAGTTCCTTACAGGCGTTAAAGTGTTAAACAATCGAAGATTTATTGATAATTACAATAAAAACAATGTCGAATGAGTTGTTTCAATAAACAGGGTGCTCCTGAGGTGTACATTGACGGCGGAATCATGTTTCTTTAATAATTATTTCATTTCTATTTTTTCTTTTATATTAACATAAATATGTATGTGATGTTAAATAACGGAAAATAGAAGAATCTGTTAGCGATAGAATTTACGCAATATACAAAAGTACTTAATTTTCCTAATTTGTCTTTATTGCATGAAAACAGATCAGTGCTTACTTGAATGATAATTTAATACTTGCTTTCTCAAATCTTTTTAACTATTACTGATATACATCACATTTGAGACAGCCTGTACATTTGTGTACATACTACTATTTTTCTTCCAGAAAAAGCACTTGAAGTTTCGATAATGGAACCGTCCTTCATTATCGAGAACGTGCAACTTTTATAAATTTAGTATGAAAATTCTAGTTAGAAGTGCCTTTTTCTCAGTAAACCGAAATCTCAATCTTGCATTTTGTGCGGAGAAATATAACGCATTTTATCCTCTAATGGGGAGGGGGGGAGTTGTATAAATTACAAATGACAAAATGCTTCTGCAATTTAATTTAATTATCGAATATATGCACGAATGATGAAAGATGAGAGAATGAAGATGTGTGTACGAGAGAGTGAGAGAGTGGTAGAGAAAGAGAGAGGATGGGAAGAAAAATCGATCCAAAGTTCTATTAATAACCGAGGCAGCGAATTATCCTGTACATTAGATTAATGTTTAATTATTTAATTCTACATTAACGTTAATGTTAACAAGTTTTATATCGGGATATAAAACGAATATGCATACTGTGTATGCGAAAGAGTTTTGTACATTGCCTAATAAAAGATTGATCTTTATTATTGTAAACCTAATTTGTTGTTTTAATTACAGAATATTATATATTTATAATATATACTAACATAGATAAATCATATGTTGTTGCCAATTGACAGAATTCTATTAAAAAGAAAATTTGCACTTTTACACTGTTCTAATTTTTATTGCTGGAATTTAGAACAAGATCCTTCTTTTGTTTGAGATCAATTTCTATGAAAGCATAAGTTTTACAAGTTTGTATTATTATATGCTGCTTTTTCTCTCTTATTTACTTATAATTATTTTTTATACATTATTTATTTATAAAAATTATATTTAAAAAACCACAATTTTACAGTAAGTGACAATTAAGCAACACTTTAAATTCACGTAACAATTATATTTTTAACATGCAAGAAATGTACTGTCAAGAGTTTCAATTCTATATAGCGATACTTAAAGTTTTAGAACTATTAACTATTAAAAAATATAGTGAATGTAATAACATATTTGATGAATTAAACAAATAGATAACAAAATGTTATTTCAAATTTAATTATTTAATTTCAAAGAAACTTAATCTATTTATCATATCCTGTATATTACTTTATATCAATCAATATATTTCTAAAGGATCGGCAGGATAAGTAGGTCACCGTAGACGAATAAAAATTGATCGAAAAAATACACGGTAATAAATATTTTATTTCAAATCGTTGGACAATCACATTAGTCTCGATTATTTCTAATATTTAAAAAATATATACAAAAGATATTTACAAATAAACAATTAAACGATCTGCCGTTACTGCATACGATATAAAAATAAATGTGTCATCACGCGTTTCCTTCTCGTAATCTTTGTATCTTATGACACGCAACCGCAATCGTAAAGGAATGAGTCGCAACACTTAGGAAAATACGCAAACGCAAGAAAAAGACAGACGTGCGTTATTGTTAGTTTTGTGATGCACGCTCACGAATTGACAACTAGTATTCTTGAATCGACTTCAAGCTCGTCGTAAATTCTCTCGCCCGCCTTAATCGTGAAAGCGAATAAGAACTCTCTTTTCGCCGTACAATTTTTTGTTGCGACGTGTTGTCGTCTATTTGGTCGGTAGATACGTGTTAAAGAGACAAATATTAAATTACATCCTGCTTTTCGATTGTACCATACTGCTTTTGACCGAATAGGTATGAACAAACACAACGAGCACGATTTTCCAATATCACTCTTTTCGCATAGCAAAATATAATCCCAAGAATATCTTCGGACGTTTAGATTTGATCCATAATTTAATTGTATCTGCGATAAGATTAATTATCCAGTCGTTAACGACTACACGTATGAGATATCCTTAGGATACACGCGGATGTTCTTAGAATATTTCTTAAAGTTATAATACTTTTTGTCTTTTTAATATTTTATCGGGACAAACTCTCTCTTCGCGCCATTTTACACTTTACACTTTAATATTGTATAATGCCTTTGGATTTCTATATGGAGATGTAAGTATCGGAAACATTGTTCTTAATTAGCTACGTCCTTATAGTTGTTAGACGGTCATCAGATATCTTAAAATATTTTCTTTTTGACGGTCTGAGCAAATCGGAATATCTTAAAATCGCATGCTACGTGAAAATCGAGTCAATAATGTCGATTAATTATGATGTATCACGTAAAGTAGCTAGATGTTATCTATATATATCTCTCTTTGTGCATATCTTTCGAACAACATGACACTCTAGTAAAAACATTGTAATTTTAATTGCGTACAGTACATCATATATATATAGTCTCTTTCATTTTGATTACAAGTGTTACTCGGCGATAACAATCGGTCCGCGAGAATAACGACGCTGTTCTCGCGTTTTCGCGTACAACCTAAATCATTTGAGGTATATCTCCTTACGTCATTACTGTCATTTCGCGTCATCTCGCGTCATCCCACATTCTTTGGTCTCTCTCTCACACTTTCTTTGGTTTTCCGTTTTCTCGTACTTGCTCAAACATTACAGGGTGTAGCTAACGTAAATAGCTTCTTATATTCCCACAATATATCTTCAGCTTTGTCCATTGTCTTTATTTACACTGTAAATATTAATATATTATATGTATACGACATTATAGATCATAAATAAATTTTTTGTATAAATATTGCGTGAAATTACGTGTTACAAGTTTGATTAATCTCATCGATAATAAGTGATTTTTTCCTAAATCTGATTAATACTCTGTATATTAAATTCGATTGGATATAGACAGACCTGTATCTCAGAATAAAAAGGTCTTCTCACATTTTCAATCGTAATTTTTTATCGTTCCTAGTTACTTAGAAGTCAGCTTGATAGCAGAAAGTAACCGTTCGACTACACCCTGCACGCTTTAAACGATTTTTCAATCGGGAGAGCTCGATCGCTCAAGTTAGTTCGAGTTATCGTTCCATCGTTTGTCATAAACTAGTACTTTCTTCTCCCGCATCCGGTCTTTCTAACATTCCCTTCTCGTCGATGCCTATAAAGTACGTTGTGACCTCTCCTTTCGGCTTGACATACGTCTCACCGCGTAGATGACACTTGACACCTTGCTGTTCCAAGATGGCAGCCGTATCCGCTGTTACCTAAACGAAATGCTCGTTTTATTGCACGAATTTATTAAACATTAATATTAAATGTAACGTCTAGACTTACCTGTATTTTTCCTGGTAGTCCAGTGGTGTCCATTCTGGATGCCATGTTTACGGGGTCGCCCCAAATATCGTACAACGGCTTTTGAGCCCCCACGACGCCAGCCGTCACCTCCCCATGAGAAATGCCGATCCTTAATCTGAAGACAAATTTCGGATTTCGTTCAAGTTTCTTTTAATTTTGCCGCTTTTTATCGTGCTTAGAATCTTGTGAGGTCGTGCTCACTTACTTGTGAGGTTTCGACGTGGTGAACGACCTCGCGTTCATTCTATCGAGCACGGACATCATTTGTACGGCAAATTGCACCATCACCTTGACCACATTGTCGCTGCAACTCTCGTCGCTTTCAGTGCTGTGCATTGAATCGCGTCGATTCGCTTCCAGTCCGCAAGCCGCCATATATGTTGTACCTAAATAAAAAATACGATAACAGACGAATTCAAATTGTCATCTAGAATCCAGTTTTTATTCATGTTGTTAATTCATTGATGATTATTCATGATTATTCATGAGATTCTCACCGGCGACCTTTATCTTCTCTATGCGACACATGAAGCAAGGATCGAAGAGTAACTTGTCGAATTCACAAATGATCTCGTTCAAATCACTAAGGATGTTACTCTCGACGATCGACAGTTCTGTCAGAGAGGCAAACATCACGGCGACGTTGTTGTGAGCCTCGTGATAAGGCTCGTTCTCCTCGGTTCGGTTCATGTTCAAATAAAACTCCGCTAAAAGCACAACCAGTCACACGATCAATCTCAGACAATAATCATCTCGATTACTGAACGTTATCGTTATTTCTAATCAGTATATCAAAAAATTGTAAGAGCCCCGTAAGATATTTGCGGGGACCAACGCACCGACGTGTTCCGGCAGAATATTACGAAGTAAAAGCTTGTTGGCATTCCTCGTATGAAACGCTTCATCCTGTTCCTTCGTTAGCTGACGTTTCCATTGATAATCCAGCCTGCTCAAGTATTCTGCCTAAATAAACATTCGTAAAAATTAACTCGTTGACGAACAACGTCGAGAACATTTCGCACAAATTGCGATTTCGGGGCTTACCTGACGATCGATGAGATGCAAGGAGAACGTGAGAAACAACACTGTCAATATATGCGCCAGTCTCGGTTCCATGTGAGGATTCCACGCGTCGCTCGACTAAAATGCATACGTTTCATACTATCTGTCATTTACTATTAATAAACAATTTTGTAAATGTAGCCAAATATTTTGAGACAATGGTGTATTTTTCATATTTTCATATTCTTCTTTTTATTAAATTTGTAACAAGAAAAATATTTCTTGAAAGAAATACGGATATAACACCTGAAATATATTAGATCGGTGCACCCAAACGTTCCACGCGTAAAAGGCTACCACGCAGATGCTTATCACTAATTTCAAGACGTAGTGGACCCTTAGGAAGAGGAAACTTGTGATGATCGCCAACGAGCAGGTCTCTGTCATTTGCTGGAAAAAAAAAATGCCGATGACGTGCGGGAACATCAAGGGCAGAATCGTCGAGACGGGAAATTTCACATAATTTCAACACCATGTACCTACTAAATAATCTTACCCAAGGTGTAGATGTGCATTCAAATTTGGAGGCGCCAACCTCCAACACGCTGGACGTTATGTTATTGTCCAATAGGTTCACATTTTCACATTCAAACTGAAAAGAGTTTTAACTCTTTAATCGTAGAGGAAAAAAAATTATCTTTTGATTTACGGCTAGACAATTGCTTCGATAGCTGAATTCATGGATGTATACGAAATAATCAACAGAAAAGAAAAAAATTGATCTGTTAATTAAGAAAATTCTTAATTAAGAGAATCCTTACAATCATATCAAGCATGGCGCATGCTGCAAGCATTATCGTGATCACCAGGTACAAGACCGTCCTCAGAAGGGCGCTCCATACAACCTAGAGGCGTAGAACATGAAAGAGAACAGAAAGATAATGTTAATTAAGTTACTGTTAATTAAATATAATAACTGCGAGCGTGTTAAATATTCAGCAACGCTATAGCTACCTTTACGCTCGTTTGATAAAAAAAGTACAGCAGTTTGTTCCGTGGATGTGGAACGTGTCCTTCGTGCTCGTCGTGTGGGTCCTTGCAGCGATTCCACACAAAGTGCATCCACGTGAGGGGTATTAAAGCGATCAGGAACATCAATGCCGACGAATAACCGACAAGTGTGTTCAGATGCCATCTAAAAATTTAACGAGTCTCGCATTATTAAGTCGATATCGTTGGCCTACGATTACCGGACAGATAATTAATTCTAATATGCCTACTTAGAGAGCATAAACGTGGGCACGAGGTACATAAGTCCCATGAAGACGAGCACAAAGGCAGAGCAGCCGATGTAAAACTTAAAGACGGGATCCGGTTCGCGTAGATATGGAATCTCCCAGCTCCATTTCCGAAATGTTAAGAGGAGTGGATTTATGTGCTTCCAATTGCTCCATTGTCTGGAAAAAAGCACGTTTTTTTTATCATCACTCTCCGATATTTTTCTATTAAAATATAATACTTCGCCCAAAATTTTTGAGAATTTAACAACCGGATTTTCAAATCTGGAGAAAAGACTCGCTGTAAAAATGCTTACTGCCATTTGCTGAGAGGCATCTGATTAATGGCGTTCTCCATCTCGGCGTCCGCTGCTTTCAACATTAGATGATAATCCCGTAGACAAGAATCCATGAAGTGCGTTCTTCGTCTGTAAGTGCTCGCGAAAACGTCCGCTTGATTGTTCACCATCATCCTCGTTCTGGAACTGGTGCTGATGATGGTATTGGTACGTCCATTGAACTTGACGTAGTGCTTGTTAGACATGGGATATGACAATATCGGCGAATCCGGACTAATGGCCTTCAAACTGTTCTCGCTGTTCTGCAACAAAGTTCGCCTGTCAACACTCGGCTGGGAATTCGCTCGATGTGAGCACAGGGTGATAAATCAGTGGCATAGGAGCATTCGTTCGTGGCATTAAACGCTAATGCTTTTGCAGCATGTAAGAGTCACAGAGAAGCGCGTATTTAAGGAATTGCGCGAATTGTAATTGTAGATTTGTAAGTGGAAAAATTTTTGTGGACCTATACATACGTATACAAGTAATAAAAGTTGATAAAAGTCGTTTAAGTTGATCTAAGTCAAAATATTGTAGCTCATATTGATTTAAAATAGTATTTTAGACACGAATTTGATTTTCCCACGCCACCGGGAGACACGCACCGCGTCGGCGACGGTAATGGCGTTTCCGGCAAGGACGGCGTGATGAGATAGCTGCGTATTCCATATTTTCGTAAAACCTCGTCGTCCAATCTTTCGACCGGGATGTAGTTGTAGTCACTCGCATTCACGAGATCCAGCGTCTGCTGAGTGACGTGGACTTTGCCGGGCTTCCCGGTCTGCTCCATTTTATTCGCTATCACCACGTCGCGCGACCAAACGTCGTATTGCCACTTGTTGGTGCCCAGGATTCCAGATATTATGTTGCCCGAGTGCACGCCGATCCTCATGTTCACGTCCACCCCGCTCTCACGGTAGACTCGCGCCCTCACCTCGTTGATGATTTTTATCATATCAAGTCCTACGTATTATTTTACAAAATAATATTTAATCAGAGAAAAGATATGGAAATGTTTTCTTATAATTGAAAACGATCATCAAATATTGCAATTATAAAAAAAATGAACACTGGAATTCCTAAGATTTTTATAACAAATTAATATGGCTATCTCTGAAGGATTAGTTAAATATCTTTAGAATAATGTCGTGCGCGACTTGCGTCAAATTTTTTTCTCGATACAATTGGATTCACGAATTAGAACTTTGCCTATCTCCAGATTTGGAAATAACTACATTGTTTTATTTTTATAAATATAAAATGTATAAAATAACATTCTCCAAATATTAGCTCGATATTTATTGATTGCATCACATTCCGCTGGATGACCGTAATGCATAAATAGACACCGTAATTTTACCGAGATCGACGCAGCTCTTGGCGTGTTGGGAATTCGGCGTGGGCACGCCACTCACGCAGTAGTAACAGTCGCCCAAAAATTTGATTCTCAGCACATTGTGCCTTTCAGACGCTTCGTCGAAACTGCCGAACAGATCGTTCAACGTTTCCACGAGTTTTCGTATCGGCAGCGTTACAGTCAACCCGGAGAAGTTTACCACATCCGCGTACAGGATGCTGACATTGTCGTGCGTCTCCACGCATAAATCGCTGAAATCGGAACAATTGGAGTAATAATATTCGAATAAAACGGAATAACATCGTATTTGCCGCGGAGACGTCGTACCCGTACCTGCCTTTCGGCGGAGGACTCTTCTTGTGCTCCTCCACGAATTTGAAGATATCCCGGAAATCCTTTTTGATTTTCGCTACTATATGTTGCGGCAGTATACTCCGCGTCAATTGCTCCTGCAAATGATTATTTCTAGCTTCAAATATGTTCGATCAGACTTTGAGTTTCTATATAATTTTACATTCTCGCAAATGATCACCTTTTTTATTGTATCTTTGCAATTCTCAATTTTATATTCTTGTATTCTTCATGGGCGTAAAAATATAGCAGGATTGTGGATAAAATCATGTCTAAAGCGTCGTCTACAATGGCAGCAAGAGTATGCAGTAAGACGTAAGCAGTAAGCTATTGACCAACCACAGTCAATTATTCTTGAATTGTAAAATCCCATTAGTCAATAACTTACTGCTTACGTCTTACTGTGTATACTCCTGCTCCCATTGTAGACGACGCTTAAATCAGTCTAGGGAGTTGAAGCGCAAAGGACAAGAGAAACTCAACGTATTTATCGTGGCTACGTGTTTACGTGCCCAGCATCGCGAATCTGTTTCTCGCATTCCCCGTACGTACTTATTCGCCTCCAAAGACGAATTATTCGAATGAAACAGGAAGAAAGACAAAGGAAAAAGACAACAGAATGAAGATAGAATAGATTAGATTCGACACACGGTTTTCGCTAATGAAGATTACCTCGAGATTAGCCAATATCTCATTTTCAATCTGACGTGCATTAACGCAATTACATCCGTTTAAACCTACTTCTTGATCCTTCTCATAGTTGAGCCTGAGCGTCGACTCGACGCACTTCCGGCGATCCAGGAAGGAGCGCCTGATAACGACCTCGTTCATGAACCTGAAGTAGAGTCCCAGAGCGTTCACGCACACGAAATATATCGCGTCGCTGACCATCTGCGATTAGGAAGGGGACAAAAGAAACAAAAGCATTCCATTCTTAGATGCTGATGGTTTACTGAATTTACTCGAGCAATCGCGCGGCGGTTTGCGTCAGCGCGATTACATCGCGCATCGTCGGCGTAGGGTTTACCTTGGTAACGTAATCGCCCGTGTTATTGTAGGTGATTATTGACAGGGTCGCCAGGTAACACATGCTGGCCGTAAGGCCGAGCACGAGGGCGTGCGAATTCTTCGTGATCGGCAGGAACACGTAGCATGCGAGAAGCGAGTGCGTTGCGTACGCCGGTCTGAAAAAAAAGAAATAAAAGGCTACTGAAGAAACGCATGTACATATAGCGGCGCACGTGAGTGAATTCGCGGATGCGTGCTTATTGATAAGAGTTAAAAACGCGATCGCGCAAAGCCGTGATAGCGTTTTTAGTTCTTCAACGAGAAAAAAAAATATGTGGCCACGCGCACGCAAAAACGATCGGTGGAAAACGTAAAAAGCGCGCGCCCGTATGCGTACCAAGGATGTTTCGATCTTTGTACGCCTGATTATTCCGCTAGGAAGGCCTTTCACATCATTAGGATAAAACCAAATCATTAAATTAATTTCTTGGAAACATTTTCTTCATATTCGAAATATGACACAACGATTGAAAATGTCTGACTATACATAAAACTTACATTATTATAACGTTATAGTTACTGTATAATATATTAATATTGTGGTTTCTTAATTCAAAATAATCGTCTAACTAAAAAAAAACGTATCGTAATCGTGCAAAAGATTTGTCTCGCGATAATGCGACACCTGTATCGCAACACCTTGAAAAATGTTCTTAAATTGATCATTATATTATTTTGTGCAATACGCCGGATAGAGATAATCACAATATCAAGTTATAATATCAGTCGCTATTCCGGCAATTGTTGCGTATGCGAGGACAAAAGCACGTCTTTATCAGTAATAAATATTTACGCGATTCGCGCTACGTAGTTATCGGGGAATAATTTCGATAAACCGTGCGCCAAATGAACAGCCGCTAGTTTCTAACGACGTTGCTAAATAGTGATGTTAATCGGATGCAATTTCGCACTATCCCGATCATGTTATCGGTACCTTATTGGCGGAATAACATCCTCGAAGGCGTAATACAGAGGTATGGTCAGATCACAAATGACCAAGAGCACAATGATCATCCAGGACAGCATGACCGGCAAATAGGTGTTCTTAGCCATATGCCTCGACCGGAATGATAGGGCGATCACAGGACACAGCAGAGCGCCCACGATGCAGTAGGTTACGATGTCTACCAAGCATTTCTTTATGCCAACCTAAATCAAGAAGAAAACTCCAGTTCGTATCCCAACGTTACTTATAAATTTTTAAAAGTTGCATAATTTATTAGACACCTCCAAGCAGCAACAACGTTATTAATTGAAGAGTTACTTCAGTATAGGATTGACGATAAGGAGCTAAGTGATTTAGTAAAAAGATATATTTTAATATTGATCTATTCATTGAACTATTCATGCAATTAAGAATTTATAAATAAAATGAAACGTTCTCTCTCTCTCTGTAAATGTTTTTAATTATAATAAATAATAAACTTACATTTTTGATCAAGGACAAGCAATACGTAAATCCAAGTAATAGGTGTAGTAAGATGAATATCGAAAGATAACCATATTGTATTCTCCTGTGATAGACCGTGTACAGCTTTTCTAGGTTCTTGTATTTGAATTGTTTCTGAAAGTGGAAGCTTGCGTGAGATCGTAATCAACTTGCTGAATCAGTGAATTATTACACATTTGATGAAAAATGGGAAGGAAGCTTATTGAGACAAAATCATTAAATTGTCAATTGTTATAAATATTTAGGAATTTAATAAGGAGATGAAGAAATGTCAGGATCTTATTTCTAAAGAAATTTTATCTGAATATCCTATCCATCGTGATTTTTTAGTTTTTAGTTTTATGTAATTCCTTAAAGCTTTTAGTTGTGTTTTTAATATAAATTTTACAAGTGTATAACGATAATTGGCCTTCTGATCAGATGCGAAAGTAATAAAACAAGAAGAGAGCACGCACGTTCGATAATAAAACAAACAATATCTTTGCTTCGTTTCAGAAATATCATCATTAGATAGTCGCATAGCCATAGATTATCCGAAGTGTGCATCGTTATCGTTCCGTATAGAAAGTGTCAGTCAATACAGATTAAGGGTGATGAATATCGCCATTGTGAGAAACACGCGCAGTTCAATGTCGCAATTCATCTCAGCGAGCATTCGAGAAGAAACACACGAGAAGAAACGAGGGAATATTTGCAAAAAAATCACTTTTCCGTCAACGGCAAAGTCCTTTGTTGTTCATTTTGCATCACGGTCCCGTACACGAAGCGATTATATTAATGAGAGTTCCTCTTTTTAGTGAATAATTGATGTATTTATCAAAATGGAAATGTTCTTTTATGGAGCAATCTTCTTTTACATTGGAACGTCATTTTGATCGATATAGAAGTATCTTTAGAGCGAGAGGCATCATCGTCGCATCATTACCTATATTATTTTCCGGGGAAGTATCTAAAATTAAAATTTTCGTGTCAGAATACCTACACGCAATCACGCGCGAATGGAGCATACTCCTTTATTTCAAGACTCTCCCATCCTTGTACTCCAACGTCCATAACGTGTTCCAATTTTGAGAATTGATCATTTTCAATTTGTCATTTCCAAAAATTAAGATGTATTTAACGATCAAGGGATGGATAATGGCTACGTGGCAACGTAGGCCAGCGAACTGATAACTGCACGTTCTTTTTCACTTTCGCTCTCGTAACATATCACAAGGCGGTACGCACTATAAATCGGCGCTCGAAGATCGTGACGGGAGAGTCCTTATGAATTCTTCCTCGCGAGGAACTCACAGGTCGGGGCTGTGCTTCCGCCAGCACGTTCGCCCGCACGACGATCGCACGGCGATCTGCCGATCGCGTGTGGACTGTGGCGCGCGCAAATTATACACGGCTAAGCTCGTAAAACGATAAAGCTGTCATCCGGCGCAATCGCGCAGTCCCAGCGTCCCAGCTCCTCCAGCATGCATCGTATGCATCGTGGAATGCACCGCAGACTCCCGCTGGAATTCCGCTGGAATTGCGCGTCTTCGAACTGCTTCAGAATTAATCCCTACTGATGTACCCGCGCGAGTACCAGGGTGTGCTCACTCACAGCTTTGCTCGATCCTTTCTTTTTCTAACTTTGCCCATTATATATATATAATTTGAATATAGTTAATAATTTAAAAAGGTCGAGGGTCGAGCATACCTGCACGAATCCAACGATTTCAAATTCTTTCATTTGAGAACTCGCTTAGATCGTTCTAGTCTTAATAAATTTTTGATCATTTCATACTTTTTGCAGCAAAAATTAAGAATGAATAAGTTAGAGTATCACGTGCCGAGTTTCAAATACCGATTGACTGGGCTCGAGATAACCGCATATTTTTCTGAGACAATTTATAAGAAAAGTCTCGAGAAATCTCTTATTCCTCGCGATATCTCGCGGTACATTAAGCGAGCAAGATTATCACGAGCACGTGGATTTATCCAAAGGCATCTGCGTGCATGTTCTAAAAATAGATTCCTCCCCCACACGTTTCACGGGATTTCATCATTGCGGTCATCGTAATGCAAATAGAATATATTATCGCACTCCGGTGGCCAATATTCAGATAACGCGTGACGTACTATCAGATGGCAAGAGGTCCATAAGACGGAACATCTGCTTTCACTTGACGGTACTCACGTGCGAACGGCCGAAAGGCCCGAAATTTGCGCCGCGAAGCCAACGTGCGACCTTTTTCCACACAATGCACGACCACACCCGTCGAAAAATCGCGTCCGTCTAAAATGCAGCGGTTAGCCAAGGTGCGCTTGAAGGCACCTCCACTTGCAGCAGCAGCAGCAGCAGCAGCCGGGGGAAACGTGCTTCCGTGCTTTCGTCTCGCGCGTGCGTTTTGTCCGCACGTTGCTGTCGCAGCTTGCGAATCTCCTTCTCTCTCTCTCTCTCTCTCTCTCTCTCTCTCTCTCTCTCTCTCTCTCTCTCTCTCTCTCTCTCTCTTTCGTCTCGCTGAATATTGATCTTCAATCCCGAATTCGCGCAGCAGGTCTCCTTTGCAACCTCCTCCTCCTCCTCCTCCTCTCACCCCTTTTTGTCTTTCTCTCTCAGTATTGTTCATCGTCCTCCTCGTTTTTTCCATTCTTCACCCCTTTCGATCCAAAGTTATTCGTATTGTGACGATGATAATAAATAATGGATTCATAAATGATTATCACATTAAATAATAATATTAGATAAAACGCGTGAGAATAAGAGCCTTGCATAAGAGCCTAAATACTTAAATTATCACATTGCATATTCTTGCAACGTTTTTTAAATTGTGATATTGTGCAATCTCGCAATTCGACATCTCTGAAATGTCTCTGTAGCATTTGCAATGTGTTGGGGGATCCCGCGATGTATTGGGATAGAGATATCTCGTTATTGAGGAATTCCCCTTCCTCAAACAAGCAAACGTATATCTTCGATGAAATCTATCGGTTAACAAACGCATCCGAGAGGATTGATTGGACTGAGATTATCGTGAGATTATCGTGAGTCCTGCCGAGCGTTGATTTATTGGTATAACTTTCGGGAATCGAACCAAAGTAAATTTGATCGAAAATGATTTCAAGTAACAAAATTATTCTGTTCGGTATTCACGAAAAAATTTACACGATTTGGAACGGATTTTCTAGTAAGAAACTATAATAGAAATTATTTATCCAAGAATAGAATCTCCTCCACACAGAAATAACATTATCAATTTTTATGACATTTGATCCTTCTTGAACTGCTTATTTAATCGGTAATTAACTTGTGGTATACCCTGCGCGAGGAAATGATCGCGCTTTCCTGTGCGAGAGTAATAAAAAAAAGCGACGGTGCTTCCCCGGCTCTGCATATCTTCTTCTCGAGCTTTGTAAGCTGCTCGAGCTCGCTTCACGGCGAACATCCTTCGGTCATTCAGATAAATCGATCGTCGCTCGATAAGTTGCACCTTCGAAGAATTCATGTTCTTTCTCGCTCACTCCGCTTGGCGAGTCATTCTCTTCTGATAGTGACTCTCGTGCTAAAAATTCCTCGACAATCTTGTTTTCCAGGTAACATCGTCTGAGAGAACGTTATCAATTCCGAATCGCTGGTGAAATTCTCTTGGTTGAAGCTATATGTCGCGCATTTGATGCGATTACGCTTCATTGACGTCTCGTGCAGATTCTGAAGTTCATCGCCAAGTTTTTTTTTATGTGCTTCAGCGAACAGTGACTTCGACATATATCAGAGGTTTAAATTTAAAATCAAGATGTACAATTTCTCGCAAATTATATTTATACGCTTCAAAAGTTTTGCAGTATTTTTTTTGTAGACTTGAAATGAAGATGAATGATCGCGAGGAATACTTGAGGTTGTAAAAATTTGGATATTAAAATAGTCGTTTAATCCAAGGTTTTAAAATGCAAAGTGCACTCGCAAAACTCGATAAGTTAAAGTACTTGATGAGATTTACGAAGTACTTTAGCTGCCGTAGATCTTTTAGTCCAGAATTTGAGTTTGAAAGTCCAAGAAAGAAAAATATCAAACTTTTAAAACTACAATAAAATTTTAATATAAAAAATTGCATTATTACGTTTACATATAATAATACAATTCTAAATTTTTATTACTTAATTTATAATTAATTATACGTAGACAAAATGATAAGTCTGTCAATAATTTTTTAAGTTATAAGCTCATTTCATTTTATACAAATAATTTTCAAATTATGCTCATTATAAGAAGTAATGTCATATAATCTGAATCAATTATAATATAAATAAAAATGTATATTTATCTTATAAACTGCATTAATAAAAGAACAATGAACAAAGCCGAAAATAAAAGAGAGTTATCTAAATTCGAGGCAACGCGAATCAGGTGATATGACGCCGTATAGTCCAGCAAGAATGAGGAGCAAGAACAAGCTCACAATCAGTAAAGTACCCATCCTCGCGATTGAGGCTATTCAAACATTCACCGGTAAAGACAGATGGTTCTAATGTGATTAATCGATCACTTACCCTCAGACCGGACCATGTCCATTCATCAAAGCTATTGGGAGAGACAATGCGGCCATCGTCCACCTTCTGCAGCGAACTCAGCGACGCTCGGGTCACCAGTTCCACGTCCATCCTGGCCCCGCTGTTGGTCGATCTCGGATCATCCATGTCGATGACGGTCACAGCAAGACGACGACGGCGGTGACAGCGAGCTCGCGGCTGTCATAGATGCATTCATCGCGATGACGGATCTGCGACTGGAGAACGATCGCGACGAATCGCAAAAGTGAATCACCCCGAGCGTTAGGCGTCAGGTTCCGCGATGATCGCGCCAAGCCAAGCCCAGGCTTTATCGTGATAAGAGAAATGGGCCACTCGAAACGCTCCCCCTGCGACTACTGATCCCTACTTCGTCCCTCTCCTTTCTTTCTCTCTTTCTTCCTCTCCCTCTTTCTCTCTTTCTTTCTCTCTCTTTCCGACCAACTATAATGCACGTTCCTGATTTTTTTTATATTTGCAAACTCTGCCTGGTGCACTGCACAGCATCGATCGTGAATGATAAAGTGACCAGCGGGAAAGAAGCGTTCTCGTTGTCTCGTTGTCGGAAAAGACAAATGAAATATATTTCTGGATGAAAACACCTTTTCAAAGAATTCGCATGGATCTCGGAAAGAAGAACACAAATATCTCAATATAATAACGTAATCAGAAACATCCACCGCCCGCTGGCATTCAGAAAGGATTCACGTTACTCGCTGGCGTAGAATTCACTTCGCGTCAAAGAACACTAATATATTTGTGCACACGCGCTTCACGTGTCTATTTTTAAACGAATTAAATAAATATGGGATCCGCGACTGTTCTGTCGAAAACTTTCACATTTATCGGCAAATTGTATCAGGCAAAATACGACGTCAAGAATAGCTTCCAAGTTCTTCTTGCCTTTGAACGTGGTGTTTTCAAAATCAGGTAATCGATCCTCGCTGCGTCCGACAACTGAATTCGTCCCCCGCCTGAAAAGAGAAGCTCTTAAGCTCATATTTGGTGTCATGAAGTGCCGCAGAAACGTAGTCATCGATCATTAGAGGAGAGGCACAATTAAATCTTTAAAATATCTGTTACAAAGAATAATTGAGAACGATTACGTTTCTGTTGTGCGTTAAAAGCTCCACAGAACGGAGAAACTCTTATATATTAAGACTCAACACTTTTATTCTGCCACAGACAACTATAGCTTTATTGACCGTTAATAAGAACATCTGACAGGATAAAAGCTTTAAATGCTTTTTTCTTTTTTGAATAGCAACATGCTCGCACGTTCTTTCTCCAGCAATCGCCAACAATTGAATTATCGAACCAGATTGCGGAAGAACACTCGATAGCAGCTCTCCTGCGTCTATTTTTGCATCTCTCGTCTGCGGCTCTCTTCTTCGCTCGCCTTTATGAAATCCCCGCGAGATAGCCGAAATTGATCGGAAAATTAGGTAGATATTTTTGCCAGACGATAACACTCGGTTCACGTGGGATTACGACACGTTTTTATCTCGCTGACGGTATCAAGTATATTAAAATAGAACACATGTAACGTTTACAGAATATTTGTTAAATTATTCTTCTTTGTTATTACAATAACTTTTTTAATAAAATTATTTTTTTAACATTTTATTCAGGGATATTTAAAATAAACGAGAATTTCAAACTGAGCTGTTTGCGATAAAGCGTGGGTAATTAATAACATCATTACAGTATAATAAAACTAATTAAAGTTAAAATTTGGAGCATTTTATCCAATTCGCTAGATCAAAGTATATTTCGAGGTATTATATCTCCAATCTTCAAAACCTTCATGCTTCGTCATATCCTTGCCGTTTAATTACATGTATCAAAGATTAACCGAGTTACATTTCGTTACGATAATGCGACAATCAACAAACCGTGACCTGACTCAGAAAGTGAAATCTACAAAGAAGCGAAGGAAATATTTTTATTTGTGCAGTTATATGCCATCGCGAATGTTTTCATCCCCGACACTTTCTCCGGCGCACAATCACGATAGATCATTTACCATCTCGCGTTGCAGCGTAAAGCGTGACCTCACCAACGCCAACGATCGCATGTTACCTCACGATAGAAGACTACGATTACCTAATCGTTGAAATCGGCTGCTACAAGCAATAATAATATTAGAGCGATGATAACAGGTATTAAAATGCAGCAGGCACTTTTCGGACTTTGATGGCTTCTGCCGGATAGAGATGACCACAGGATAGCGATTTTGGCGAGCCATAATTGTGGAGATCTAAGTAGTAATAATAATAATTAGAGAGCCCGGACGGGGGAATTGGATAATGAGATTTGGTTTCGCGTAGTGATATATATGCGCTTTTGTATGCGATTTTGACGATCGCACTTAAGTTTCAAAGGTAACTTTCCGAGCTCTAATTGTATTCTGCCCCTTCCGGATCATGCGGCTTCGCGGCCAAATCGAGCGGTTTAAACGATCATGTCTGTTCGAGAAAGGACGCTCTTAATGGGCCGTCTCGACAGAATAGAATATTTCAAATGAATATTAATTATATTGATCGATTATCGCGATGATTCAACCGAGAGGAATCCCGAGTTAACGTACGAGTATATCGATCGCCGCGCGTGCCGAGTCTGCAGGCGTCGTATATTTTGATTTATTTTGATTGATCATCAAAGGTTTACCGAATTAACGACCGAGCACACTCATTAGTATCAAGAACGTGATTAATGATAAAGTGTCTGATAGGCGCGTTTTAAAACTTGAATGGCTAATGACTGCTCGCAATTACTTCAATCAGAAATACAAATAAAACAAAGTGTTTTACGTCTAATACACGCTTCACATCAAATAAGAATATTAATTAACGCGTCAAACGAATTGGAATAAAAGGAAAGGAGTGAATAAAGTCGAAACTTCTATCACCGAAATAAAATAAATTGAAGTAGCCGAATAGATAAAACGGCGAAAATTAAAAAGTTAGGAAAAATTACGACCCTCTTTAATACTTTCATTGAGGAAGAATCCAACTTCAAATTCATCCAGAGCTCATCCTAAACTAAAGTTACAGGTGACGAAGCGTTCCGTACGATCGCCGAAAATGAATTCTTAACGTCGTCGACTTCCGTTCGCCGCGATCGAACTTTGCGAGCTTCGTATCTCTCGATACCCACCTGATCGACGGCTCCTCCACTTCCGGATAAAAGGTCAGCCGGCAACTTTCGCGGTAAACCACAGCGCAAGTATATACGGAACCTTTTACGCGCGCGTTTCTCTTCCCTTTTGTTTATTTTTCTTTTCACACAGACGTTTATTTTTTTTTCACGCGCGTTACCTCCGGAGGCACGCACGGGCACGGGACTCGTCGGCGTTTCCTCGCGAGAAATGCGAGACAAGACCACTTTCCACCGCCGATATCGCCGCGCGACGCGCGAGGCAGCGGGCAGCGGGCTCGGCAGGTGTGACGACGAACAGCGCGACATGGGTCGTACACCCGCGGCTTCTTTTCGATTCGAGTCATGGTAGAGGCCCTCAAGGCCTACCCCGCGCCGACCGCCGACATCGCGCGCCTCGGCACGCACGCATGCATGCATATTGCGCTTTCCGTCGAGAGCCCTGGACTCCGAAGACTCCTGATGACTCTCAATGGCATTTTTTACGACTTCCGCCGCGCCGGGTTGCCGTCTCGATCGGGAAGGTCGACCCCGGGCGATCAAATCGCGGAAATCTCGCTCATAATCTCGCTCATGACCCTGGCAAAAAGATTATCTCGAGCCATTAAAAGCCATAATTCCGATATGGAGCATTTAAACAGACTGTAATTGTTTTTGTTTTCTAAAATTCCGAAAAAAAATGAAATACAATTAAATAAAATTTTTAACGATCTTAGAACGATCGTGTTTTGCTAGATTTTACGGGAAGATTATCACAAAAAAGTAATTCTTTTATTTATCATTTTAATGATCACGTTAATCAATTTTATAGCTCGACGTGCGTGAATGTTAGAGGAGTACGAAGATAAATAGCGGTATATAAAATAAAGATTGTTATCTTTTATTACAAATCAAGATTGAATACTAAAAAAATATTCCTGACATCATATCTGTCACACGATATGGATATTCAGAAGAAATTATTTAATCACTTTGAAATATATTACAAATAAAAACAAAATTGCTTGTCAAAAATTTGCTCCAAGAATGGAATTGAACGGATTAGCCATTAGTTTATTTTCTCTCTATAAATAGAAAATATCGATTGATTGATAGATCTTGAGACGATGCAAATTCGCGGAGAGTAAAGTGACGTTTATGATAATTGTCATCGCCGGACGCGATGTTTTTACACGTGATGTCAATTTTCACAACCGTGCGATGTTTCATGCAGAAAGAAGCTACGCTGACCTCGATTATCTGGTGTTAACTGGAGGAGCCTGACGGTGTCATGTCATCGTGAGTTTCGCGTCGAGCGTTGCACGCATGCCGGTGACTATAATTAACGATCGGATCGGGCTTTAGGCATAATGAAGGAGGTGCGTTCAACGTTGCAAAAAGCCTGCTGTATGAAACTTTATAATATTATTTGAAATAAAATCTGTACGGATTCTTCTCGATCCCTGCAAAAATCTCGAAGCGCGGGCGAAAAATCTAGTATCTATATATAAATATCCAGTATGTAATTTCTTGTAACGACCAACAGCCCAAATTGATTGAAGCAATTCGCGTGAAAATATAGGATTTAATCAACCAGTTACGCATCAGACAATTGGAGACTATATTTTCCTCTCCTTTAATTAAAAATAAAATAATATCTCAAATGTTTTAGGGGGGGATTAAAAACTTTTAAATCGCATCGATCTATGTAAATTATATATATGCTTCGAGCAAAAAAGTTTTAAATCTTTTAAAACTGAAAACAATTAAGGCAATTAAAATTGATTCAAGACGATTCGTATAAAATGATGGATATAAAATGAGTTGATGGTGATTTTGCTTGATTAATTTCGAATATCGTGTACATAAACACACACACACACACACACACACACACACACACACACGAACCTTTTTCAAAGCATTCGATACTTTTGAAGCTGCACTCCTGATCGTGTGTTTATTCGTGAATGAGTCGACCAAGGCTTATTCGATTAAACACATTTGTCACATTTGTCTTCGGCATTCCATAGTCTTATCGGACGCGAAAAGCACAAGGAATCTCACCTGTCGTGGCCCTATCGTGTTTAAACTCGCCTACGAAAGAGCGATACCGCTATTATGACCTGAGCAATCTACGTTTACTGGACGCAACGCGCGCGAGAGAATAAGAGAGAGAGAAAAAGAGAGAAGAAAAAAAGGGAAAACGATGCGTAACTCGACTCGACTGTTTTTTTAGCGGTTTAACTTTAACTAAGCCGCGACGATTCTCGGCGGATCGCAAAAAACCGCGAACCGTGTCTCGTTCGTGACTCCGTGCGAATACGTTGCACGGAGAGCCGCGGCTGAATTACGTTTGACGTGGGATTTTTTTAGAAGTCGATTGTGTAGAGTTATCTCCGCTGCCTTTCGATAAAGCGACGATAGCATCGTGCCCGATATCAGTTGAGTCGCCGCACAAGAATCCTGATGTCCATTAGGAATTTTATTCCCTCGCGCGCCGAACTCGCCGATCGTGTCTGCTCGAAAAACGGGCTATTTTCGCAAAACTATCGCGACACATCGATAGCGAGAAGACGTATTAGTTCTCTCACAGTTTCGCGATGCTGTTCAAATATCATCAATTCAAAAAACATCAGGCGGTCCGCCTGATATCTTTGAATAAAACGTCATGTAAATTCTATACAAGAATTAGAACAAATTAGAAATGTAAAAAAAAATGAAAAATAAAAGGCATTTTGTCGGATTTAACGTCGGGGTGACGTTTATATAGTTCTTTCATATTGTGCGTGTTGTAACATCAACAATGGTTACATTATGTATTTCTTTACTCGATAGTACAACAAATAAGATTTAACAAACTATTTTTAACCGCGATCCATGCTTCCACGAAATGGAAACGGCGAAGAAAAGTTTCAAGATACATTTAAGATACATCGCGAGAAAGATTTATAAGCGTTTATAAAAAAAAGAGCACGTACGACACCTTTATTAATCACATAATACATTTATTTTCAGTACGCTAAGGTACGCTAGACTGTACGTTTTTGGTTGCAGTCAGAAAGAAAGAAGACGAGCTACCTTCTGTTCATCGGTAACAATAACACCGACTCCTATGCCAGAAACAGAGGTTCGCCCGCTTTCTCGTTAGCGTTTATACCGCTTCTGTATGTCAACCAGATCTTTTACTTGTACGCTCACTGGACGCTAAAGAATTTATAAATCTACACAGACTCAATAATTCCGTGAAAGCGCAAGTCTAAAAGAAATCTATCGACGCGATAGGGAATCGCGAGATTCTCTAAATCATTCCGTAAATCAGATATTCTAGAATCTTCGCTCCCTAGACTTTTCTCTCCTTTCTCGCTTTACTATACAACGTTTACAGACTATCTATTCATATTAGGAGAGTAGAGGAAGAATTGTCTTGACGCATACGTCATAAAGATAACGAATTGCTCATTTAATTGTAAGATAATATAAATTATTCGCTTATTAAATGATATTGTAAGTAACGAATAAAAATGGCGAATAAGCGAAAAGTAAAAAAAAACCGATGAGTATTTGTCTATAAAGCTGATGGAAATATATATTTAATCGACTGCAGACATTCTCTCGCCTCGTGTCTTGTTTGCTCAATGTTATCTCGCAATAGGATTCGAATTGCGAAGAAGAAAAGACGGCAGAAAATCTACTTTGAAAAAATATTTGAAAATATGCCTGAAAAGAACCGTTTCCTGCGGATCAACGTGCAAATCAATAAACATTTTGAATGTTCAAAAACGATCAAGTGCCATGCGTGACTAATCGTTTACATTAGGAAAATATACGTTGAATATTTGTGACAACTTCTGGAGGCAGCTCGGAAAAAAGTGCATTCCAATCGTTCACAAAATCTCGCTGAGCAGACTTGATAAATTCCATGACGAGATTTTGCGTTTCTGTAAAAAAGAAAAAATATATTTGTAATCCAGTGAAGAGAGAACATTGACTTGCTGACTATATCTTGGTTAATATTGTAGCAATCATTATTAAATTAATTTGAAAGACACTTGATGCTAAAGAGAAAATAAGAAATGCTATTTTTTAAACAAAATTACGTGAAAACAAATTATATGCGACATTATGCTCATATTTGTTATAGAATTTATTTAGAGATACGAGTAAGTTAAAAAAAAACGGAAGCATACTTTAAATTTTTAAAAGAATTTCTTAAATTATTTTTAAAACGTTCGTTTTATTGATCAGATACTTACCGACGTCGACAGTCTTTTCTTCGTGTAATATGATAACTGCGACTTTCAATAACGTATGAATGTAAGACTGCAGGAGAGTGACTCCTGCTTGATATAATGTAAGAATACTTTTGAACACGGCTTTATGTTCCTGGAAGTCTGCTTTCAATGGTAACTGCTCAACAAAGACTGGAAATACTTGTTCAAGTGGCAAATTCGAATAATTCGTGATAATAAGTCGCGCAATTGCCCCAACCACGTTATCACGTGCAGCTGCATCTGTCTCTTTTGCAATGGCACACGATAAAGTTTGGAGAATATTAGGATAATGTCTGTGCAATAATTGTTAAGGAATATCAAAGAAAAATTTTACTTACGCAATTATTTTCATGAAAATCTGTTATGTAATAACTATAAAAAGATTTAAAATCGCAACTTTTGTATGTAAAATGGAATTATATAAAAATAATATTTATTATATAATGCTTATCTACTATGGATATTTTAATTATAAAAAAAATAATTATGAGAAAAATTAAAGATATTTTTCAGATATTTAATTTCAAAATATCTTCTAATACTAGCTTTTTAATACTTAAAACAATTAGATATCGTTGGACAATAAATAATTGCCAAACTTGGAAAGATAATTAACATTAGATGATTCATTATAAAATTACAGAAAAGGATACGGATAAACTACTTCTTTCCCATAGAAAGCAAGTTCTCCGATTCCGAAGAAGCAATTGCTACGAACTTCGCTGCAAGGGTCTTGGTTCCCAGTTTGTAGAAAAGCCGGAAGTAATTGCGTAACAAACATACCCGTCATGTGTTTAAGCCCGGGCAAACATTCAGCTATCGTTCCAACAGCGAAGGACCTTTGTCCCTCCGAATTGTCCATTTTCTGTAAGCATTTGGCTAAGCTAAAGTTAAAATTGCGAATTTTCAGAGAAATGCAAGTACAAAAATCGCCAATACCAGTCTTTTTATAAAGAAAGGCAACATGGTCTGAAAGTAGTGCGCAAAATCTTCTGCTGAGAGCACTCGTCCCAAACTAGAAAATACAGTCCCCGCGCATTCTATCAGCAACTCATCTTGTTCAGCTTCAGTATCGATGCCTTCAACTTCCTCCTGATCCTGACACGCTGTTTTGCCTGCGATAAAAATTATAATTCCAAATTGCGCGTTGATTTATTGAAATATCGAACGTGAATGAAATACACAACGGAAATACCTTTCATTACATCCATCACACAATTTACTATAGCTTCTTTGTGACCTGTACCGACGATAACATCCGATTTAACTTCCCTTAAAAGTTCCTGGTACGCCTCCAAACCACAAATGGCGACTGTCGGCTCTTCATCTAATCTTATTAGCTCCGACAATTTCGGAATAAACATGGAGAGAGCTTTCAACAGTGCCTCTTTACCTTCATCGGTATTGATTTTCGAGAAATTAATACAGAACTGTAACAGAGCCTCTATACTCGCTTTCCGTATATCTTCTTGAGGATAATTGATCAACTTAAAAATCTCCTCGAAGGATTTCTCGAGGTACGGCATAAACGCCTCTCTGTAACAATATTTTTATTATAAACATGATTAATTCAGTTATTAACTAATGCATCCAAAAAGAAAAAAACTTACTCTGTGTATTCGGCAATTTCTTTCAGCGCCATTACACTTTCTTCTTTCTCTTCCATATAAGCGTTTTCAACACTGTAACCGTCAATCTCTTCGTCATTATCATCCTCGTTATCAGTGCACTCAATGTCTTCTTCCTCTTCATTCTCGGTGTCGCTAAGATCATCGTAAACCGTAAGAGCGTTAGCTTCGTCGTCCTTAAAGTGCATCTATAACGATGACATTTACATATTACATTTGTGCCATTTCCGTAGTTTTCTCGATTCTCGTGATTTGTTCAATAATTACCAAAATCCCATCTGCACTCTGTATACTCATTATCATGTGCTTGACAATTTCGGGCAAGGTTACAGCCATCTCCTTCTTCATTACCGTGCTGATAGCGGCGAACAATCCGTAGAGAGATTTTCGCAAGTCTGGATCGATCGTATTTCTCAATAGTTTTATTCCGAGATCAAGTGACGTGGCTGCCAAAGGAGCGAAGTGTTTCTCGCCTATTGATCTAGCTATCACTCCGAGAGTATCTAAAATATCAGAAAGATGTAAGATATAAAAAATATTATAATTACAGCTTCAATGTAACAGCAAATAACTAATCAAGTAAAGCAATTCTCACTAACCGACTGCTTGAACTTGAAGACACATGTTTTCCTCGCTCGGCTCGGTAGTGAGATAGTTGTTAAGAATGTTTATGATTGTTTCAAAGTACGGTAGCATATGCTCCTTGCTGGCACAGGCGGCGGCCCCTATTGCGCTCAGAGTGAGTTCCTTCACGTGCGGCGACGTATCCGCGTTCAGGATATCGAATAACCTTTCCATCAGTTTGGGCAAGTACGGCAGGATCCTCTCGTGCAAGTTCTCGCAGAACATCTCGAGAGCGTAGAACATACGGCCGACCGCGTGCGGTTCTTTCTTCTCTTGCTTAATGTACGTGCACACCTGGCCGAGATATTCAAACAATACGGGCAGCAACTCGGACGAATACTGCGAGATCTCCGGTTGCAGATGCTCGGAGTATTGCCCTAAGGCGTAAAGGGCGGCGTTGCGCACGACGGGCGAGGGATAGGAGATTCCTTCGCAGATACATCGCAGAAAAAATTCCAGGTAGTTGGAGCGAATGTATTCCGCGCAACCTTCCGCTAACACTGCTATAGCCACGTACGATGTCTTCTTAACGTAATCGTCTGTATGTCGGAGTCCAGGTTCGATATGTCGCAACTGTGAAATTAATATCTCTTCACTTTGGAACAGCCTTCTTAAATCTGATAGAAAGAATAATAAAAAAAAGGGGCAACCCCAACAACCAACGATTCGCGAAGACAAAAAATGCATACGTAATGCGTTCAATATATCAATAGAATTTTGAGAAATATTAAAATATTATACATAATTCTATAATACTGAAATTTTCTGATAATTTAGTTTCTTACACTATGAAGTGAGAAAAATTCGAAATATAAAACCCACACGTTATCATCAAATTATAAACAAATTTTAATAATATTACAATTAATCAATATATTTCTGATATTATCGACAAATTATTCTGAAGCTTACCAAATGTGGAATTAATTTCTCCGGCGGTAAATGCATCGCGAGCAAGTCCAAAGTTTGAGTAGCGCTCGTTAAAACAGTATTTTCGTTATCCGTATTTGAATAATCATCGTCGTCGTCCGGCTTGCTCATCATGACTGCGAATAACATGTCTGGGAATAAAATGCAAGGATCAATTAAGCCTTCTTATCAATACACACTACGTACTGAGATATTAAGATCACTCACCGACAATAGGCTCCACTAATTTATGCTTTACAAGAGCCTTTTTCTTCAATCTCGCCAACCAGCCGATAAAACTGATCACTCTAACTTTCAAGACTTCGTCTATACGTTTATTAGCGATGATCGTAAGGCACATGTGGACAAGAGGTTTCACGTGGGGCGTTATTACAACAATCATATTCTCGCACAATTCGTCCAACAAGTCGAAACTTTGGATGGCAAAGGTGTCGTGATCGATTTCAGTTAAAGCCTGAACCGTGGCCATTATGAGCGGCATCATTGTAGCGTAAGTATGCACTGTCTGGAATTACATACATTCGTCACAACAACGGTATTTTACAATGATCAAGATTGGGGTGACGCGTAGCTACGTGTAGGAACGATTGACTCGTAATCGGCAGGTCCCGAGTTCGATCCCCGACCTTCACCCCATATACGCAATTTTCAAGAGGTTTTCTAAGAGATTTACCTCGACGTGCAAGAGATTGATTCAAGAGTTAAAAAAAAAGTTTTTTACTAAAAGTGCATGAGATAATAATTGTAATCCGTTTCGGGAACGGATATATACTACATAAATAAATTATAAACTCATGTAAACACACAATGACAAAGTATTGTATACATAAATACAATACAATAATAGAAAATTTAGCAAAAACACCGCGTACGATACTAACCGTTTCGTCGTGTTTAGCTACAGGAATGAGATGTCGCAATGTGTTCAAAATGTAAAAAGCGGCAGGGTTCCCTAAGCTCTGAAGACTGCTCAACGTTTGAGCGAGCAGCATCACCAGAGATCTGGCATGCGAGGTATAGGCATCCGGAGTAACGTCTGTCATAATTGATAAAGTGTAAAGGCCTAGCTAGAATAAAATATTTCATATCATAAAATAATGGACAGACTCTTGAATATCTTCTTGAAATAAAATCTCCAAATTAAATTGAACTTTTCTTGGTTGCGTGTTAATGAACATGATATTAAACATGAATTTAATATCACTTTGCAAAAAAAAGTTGATATTAAGTTAAGTTTAAAAAGTAAAAAGTTGATATTTAATTTTTTTTACTTACTTCTTTATCCTCCAATCTTTCATTAGTGATTAACCGTTGCACGTAATGTATAATCTCTGGCCAGCTGTTTGTAGGTAATTCATGTTTAACAATGACACCTATTAATTGAGCTATATTATTTCTAACGAAGTTTTCCGATTCATGTTCTAGGGCCTGAAAAAAAGATGTGTAACAGTTAACATGAAATAAAATTGGAATAATCATAAAAACTAATTAAATAATAAAATCTCGAGTTTCTTTGTCTTTGATATCTTTGCCTTTTATCTAAAAAAGTATTCTAAAGAATATTTTGCTTTAAAATATCTCCTTTGAGATTTGTATCACTTTTTTTTCCAGTTTTTAAAGAACCGATACAACTTTACAATCGATCAACTTCAAAGAATGTGTATACAGTAAAAACTATGTAATGGAAACACTGAATAAACTGAACAACGATACAAAAATCTGCGACTTAAACCATGGCATCGACGCGATGTATTATACAAATGTCTCACCTGTAATAGAATTTTCTTAAATTCGGTTCGTATAGGTATGGACAATTTTGTCCAGTACTTTCCTTTAGTGTAACGTCTCCTAAGAATGAGAGTTGCATACTGCCGTACCTAAAACAATGCATTCTCATATGTTTGGTTTCAAGGTATGAACAGCGTGTGAATCAATCAACTTAATTCTGCGAGAAATCACAAACCTCCGGGCTCGCCGATGTCACGATAAGTTGGCACAAAACTGGCACGCTCTCTGGAGTCTGGAGTACCCTCTTAAGCTCCTTGGTTGCCTGAAATTAAACACCGTGGATATGCCGAATGATGCAGAACCATTTCGAGAGAGTTACATGATAGATAACAATAATATAGATAATCAAAACAGAAGACAGGCGAACTGAAGCGTACTTCGCGAACGAGACACTGGTCAAACTGAGACAACTTTGCGACGTCGAGTGAGATCTCACGACAGTCGAGCGGTCGTCCGGCGAAAGAGGGTAAAAACTAATCGATGGAACGGAACGAAAACACGTGTTCGCAACGAACCTTTCAACAGGCTGTCCGATTTGTGACAAAGGCGAAAGTATGAATAATGAGAATACACGAACCTCCTGTATCGTAGCACTGTCGGACACGAGCAGATTTAACAGTAAGCTCTCCATTTCTCGTTCTCCCTGGTTTTTTCTCTCGCTTCAGCCGAAAGGTAAAACGTCGCACGAGAGCACAGACGGAAGATCGAGCCGACTGCTGCCCACCGCCGCCATTCAGATCTACGAGCTACGAGGGACGAGGGAGTCGAGGAGTCGAGGGACCTGTTCGGAGCAATCGGAGCTCGGAGTCTCGGAGCCTGAGCATCGTGATTCATGTGATTCAGACCTGTTAGCGACGTCTATGCGGATATTGCGGACAATTGCGGATGCGCCCATGCGCCTCGCCGTCAGATGGTTCGGCTTGCCGTCTGCCGACACGATATTGGCTTTTTCTTTGTATGGCTTTGTTTTCTTCTTTTTCTCTCTCTTTCTCCCGCTGATGCGAGACGCCGCAAAAGGAACGCGATTAAATATTAAATTGAAAAGCGGCACGTGTGACAATCAACAAACGTAAAGTTTTTCCACGCGGAAGCTCGGTTGAAGCAAAATATCGAAAATTACACGCGTAGAGCGTTCGTGCGACTGTAGCTATCGGGCCGTAAAAATTTTTTGTTTTTTATACTTGATTTTACACGTTTGAAAATAATATTTTCTAAAATACGTTTTATCTCTGTCAGATAATACCTGGTAATTATTTAATTGGTGTAGAATACTAAATTTGTATACCGTATGTCTAATACGCTACTATGCGATTATTACCAACGCGTGGTCATGTCAACACCCTTTAATCTCCATATGACGTGGTAAGTAATAATTCGAAATTATATATTTTGCCTAAGACATTTTTCCATTGTTCTATATACTTTATTAAATTCTATATATTTACAATATATTATGCGATAGTACGAGTAGTCTTATAAATCAATATCGCGGCCTTCGTAATTTCTTAAAATTTTCAATGTACACGTTTTGTGCAAAAACGACACAATTATTTTATAGCTATAAGTCTTCGAATTTTGTCGTTGCAGTTAACACGTTACTAAAAATATTTCAAAGCGTCTTATTCATATCTACATAACTATAAAGATAATCAATTTTGTGCAATTAAAACATCTATATGTATTTTATGACGTTCGTGATTAATTACGTAGTAAATACTATTATTGTTATACTACGTGCTAAAGAACGTACTCTTTTATCTTCGATAATATACTCTTCAATCGTAATCGCACTGATAATTAGTTATACATAAACGTGATTTATTTTAGTCGATTATCATGTTACATAATTACATAATCGGATATAGCAAAATGAAAATATCGTTATATCGACATGTATGTATGTTATTTTTAAATCAGACGTTTATCAGTTTTATCAGTCGTTGCTTATCATTGCAACGCAATCTTTTGTGTTTGGGGACATTTTCTTTTTTCTATCTAAACATCGACAATAATCTTTTTTTTATCTAAGCGTCCGCATAGTGTACATGTACATCATACTAGTCTGCTCGCTCTGGATCCAGTCTTCCCGCATTGTCGACCAGTTTATTATTTTAGAGCGAACCCCCTCCTACGGGATGCCTGTCCTCCGCTGTATCCCTCGTCCACTTCTCGTCTCCTTCCCTCTTTCTCTCTTTCCTGCTTTCGTTCACGTAGGCCCCTCGAGATAATGCAGTCATCCAGATTTTTTCTTCTTTCTTTATTAATACTGTTTTAAAAATTCACCCGTACTGAGACGCGCGCGTGCACGCAATGCACGCATGCACGCATCAACGAACGCATGCGTATGATGCATATGATGATGATAAAATGCGCGCGTGCAATCGCTTGTCGCGGTTTAGCTTGCATCTTTCTTACTTGAATTTCAATATGCTTATGCTATACGAAAATTTCAAACACGCAAGCGAACTGGCAAACAATAATCTGTCAGCAGATTATTGACAGATTTGAGTTGAAAATGCTGCAAACTGCGTCCGCATTAAGTTCGTTTTCTGCTAAAGACAAACTGCAGAACCCGGCGCGGCGTAAGCATGAAATATGACGACAGATCGCTGGCGAATGCAGCTTCCACAGCTTTTTGTTGATCAAATCGAGCTAGATACATCCTTTTGTTATATTCCGTCGAGAAACTTCGCTAGGTTTCTGCCAATATTTTACCGATAGAATTTCTGGTGATATTCTATCAAATTCTTTCCGCCGATGATATTTATAACAAACACGTAATTTGTTTTCGGCGAATTAGCTCTGTACAGGATAAAATTTATGAAAAGCGTATTAAACTTAACCGTTTCACTCGAGATTAAACGCATTTTTATGCAGGGCTGTCTTCAACGCGCGTGTGCGATACTTGGGGTATCTTTATGCGTTCTCCACGACATGAAGCTTGACATGAGTGTCGGCACTTGAGCTGTAAGAGCAAATCTCGAGACTTACCTTCCTTGACCTCCTTGCACTTCTCATCATTTTTATTACCGCTCGTTTATTTGATACATAGCTTAATTAATTAAGTTTTCTTAACGGATAAGAGTTTGCCAGTTACGTTGATGCGATTATATTATCTTTCGAATAGAATACAAAGATATGATTTAGAACCTATTACTTTAAAATTTACATGTTATTAAAAGCGATACAACGTGCTATCGGAGTCATCGAGATAATTTACATAGGTATATAATTGTAAGGTCTGTGTATATTATCATTGCGCGTTTAGTCTAAAATATTTTATTTAACTGAAATATCAAATTAAATAAAAAATTTGTATTTTTTATTTATTAATTTCTAGCAATTCAGTCTTCAAATTATTACGGAAGAATTGTTTCTTGAAGATATAATTTCTCATTTGTCTACGTTAATGACATTTAATTAATTAACTAAAACACAAAGGACATAACTGCTACAATTTTTAAGACAACTTGGTAGAACGATATAACTACGTCGTTATTATGTATTTTGATTTAAGTTTTCGCAAATGTATCGACAAATTTTCTGTTTTTGACTGAGAGATTTAAACTATTTCTTACTTCGCGTGAGACTTATCTTCCTCCTCCATGGAACTAACATCGTCTCAGCAACACGAACACCAAAACAGCACGGAGGCTGTCAGCGATGTCGTTGAGTGACTCTTCTTGCACCTCATGTATGCATTCGTCGTCGGCTTAATGTGCATTCCGCTCGCGACGTTCGCTAAAGAAGGATTCCTCTGCGTGCTATCTTACTCGCTTCCAATAGCTGGAGAACTTTCGATAAAATTCGGTCACGAGGTCACTTTTTCAAAGTTGAAGGAAGATCTCGATAAAGTTCCATTAAACTGCCTAGTCCTCAGTTCATGTAGTATCGATTGTGTTCCGCGAATTTAATATATGTAATATACATATAATATTAAATTTTATAATGCTTTTTGTAACAATTGAAATATAGCTTAATTAATTAATCAATTAATTAATTTTATAATTAGTACGAGAAACATTAAATATAAAAAAAAAAGGAAATCCTTAGCACCCAAAAGCCTTCTCGCTACGCTACAATTTTTTTCTTACTTCTCTTCTCATTTCTCTTCGCAAATGTTAAAGTACTTGAATCGTTGAGAATGTTCATTATAATAGCAATAAAATTGTATTAGCAAGCAATGATATATTGTGGAATGCTAAAACTATTGTATATATTTACATTATTACAAATAAGGAAGAGATATGTTCACAATAATTTTTATTATAGATTATACTTATTATATACAATTAGTTACTGGATGCGAAAGGATTGAGCGTTCGTAATACATTAACGTTGATTATATGTGCATACATTTACATTGCGTCCAAGTGATTTCTTCGCCGTCGCATGCAAGGGAGTAATCATTTCAAGCCTTGCGTTCACGCGAAGTCTGGAGCAATCGGGATCCGAGAAAAACCGAGTAGAACAGGGACATCCTAATTTCATCGGAGGGAACTTACCTCATAGATAATCTTTTTTCCATGCCGTTTCCTCCAACCGCATCGATAACGTTCTAAGATCAGCGCTAATGTCAGCACTATTTCGGGATGTGACAAGCATCGAACGCCGGTCGCGTTTCCGCGACAGAGGAGCGCGATTCCCCGTGGGTCTTACGTTGCCGATTTTTCCAAAAGACGACGAGGTCGGTGTCTTTGAACACGTGACGGACCTCTCTCCTCTCCGCTGTTGCTCAAATAAGGCGCGACCGTCGACCTAAAAAGGCTGAAAAAGAAGAAGCCTTCCGCCGCAGTCACTTTTATGGCGGGCAAACATGCCCTTCCAACAAACGTGGCGCGCAGAGTTTCTTAACGGCAGCATGTTGCTGTCTGTCGCTCACGGATGCATCCTGTCCGTCTACGAATACCTCAACATTTGAAATCTGACGTTTTCGAGATACAAATTTATTCGCGCGGGAATCGTGCAATCTTTATTTCGTGAATAAATATCTCTTTTTCGTAACGTATTTAATTTCTTACAGAACACTGATCGCAGTATTTTTTTTTCCTATACAGAATCAAGAATTTTTTAAATGTTATAAGAAAGTAAAAAAGAAAACTCGCTCGAAGTTTGGAAAGCCGAGTCATCGAGTTCATCCGTCACCCGATGACGATACGTCTCCGAACTGTCTGATGACTGGTATTGGGGAATTTGCCAGTCGAGGCGATGTAAATATCTGGGAGGAATCTTCCGCGATATCAACAAACTGCTATCGTCACCGCAAAACCATTGTGACGTAAATGACTTGTGTAGGGCTGCCGTTCAGTTGGATCATTCGCATTTATAGCATGCATGACACCCCCTTGACGTCACAATTCCCTTGTCTCGAGCAAATCTATTTTGATGTTCTTAATCATCATAGTTAAAAATCACAGTAAATTTATCACAGTTGTAATTTTTTAAAAATATTTCTACTATGTTTCAAGCGTCGATAAAAAATGTTATGTTTCAATAATCTCTTAAAATTTTATCATTACAATTTTTTAATTACTTTGCGACATTTATTCTTATTTGCGACAAAACGTAGAAGTGTTTTTATAAAATGTGACTGTGTTTTTTTACAATTATTAATTTATTACCCTACATCTCAAAACGGTATTTTAATTTTTTGAATGTAAAATTTAACAAAATCGTTTATTGAAATCCATTGTTTCATGAGAATACCTCATTAAGTACATATCTATTTGAATAATATTGGGATGGAAAATCGGGCACGAAATCAACGAAAAGATCAACAAAAAATTTTCTTAGCAAACGTTATTTAATTCTACAGACTTACTTTCAGCATCCTAGACTTAAATTAATTACATCAATAAATCATAAATACAGATAGGATACGGTCGAGATGCATTCACGTTTTTTTTTAAAGCGGACGTATCTCTGGATGCGCGTCGCGTTATACGTGCTTGAGCTACGATCGATCGGTATCTTTTCTTTTCCATAACTATATTTTACATTTTTCTTTTTACATACTTCGCTTATTCAAGCAAATCGAGAATCAAGTTGTCCCTTTTTCGCGTATATTACTCATCGATTTATAAATCGAATACATTATAACTCGACTACGAAAATCTTGAAAAATCTGCAATTCTAGAACTGTGCACGCGCGTACTTAAATCAGTGTCTTCCAATTCTAAGAAAGGTAAATCAATGTTAACGAACTAAAGCATCAATTTTTGTAGCTAGTTCTTGGCTATTAAAATTATCGTCTAATCGCCTATCGATTCGAAAATATGTGCGATAACTTTTAGAAAAGAAAAATGATAAAAACAAACTAAAAGATTCAAGATTTATAGCTAAAAAATTTCCACTTTCTGCGTATGTTTCCGAAGAGACGACAACGGAATGCACAAAATGAATAATGAGAGAATTTAACTTAGGATTTGCCAATTCTTGCTCACAAAAATGCGAAGCGCTTCAACATTCGAGATACGAAAGTTTCGATACGAAAAAACAAGTTTACAGGTTTATTGACTTTTCTCTTTTCTTTTTCAGAAAACAAACGTCTTCACATACTGTACTTGATCTGATCGTAGTACATCGTCGTAGGCGGAGGTGTCGATGCGTGATGAATATTCGTGGAAACTGTGCCAGGTATGTTGGATATGCTCAGACCGCCGATGTTGCTCAGATTTAATGAACCCAGCGAGCTCAGAGAGCTCAAGGTCACCGAGCCTCCAGGGTGCGCGAAATAGGATGGCTTCCGGTCAACGATGCCGCCGCCAGAACTGTTCGAACTGGAGCTGGAATTGGCGCACTGCATTTTTATTCCTGAAACAGATCGGCAGATTATAAATTATTTCGAAGCTCTCTACGTATCTCTCTTACATAAGGATACTTCACAAAGAGAAACCTTCTTATCAACCTAGGATTAATTTTTTCTTATCGAAAATACAATTAAATTGCTGCCTTAAAAAGTTGATACCCCAATCTTAAATCATCCACTTAAAATCGGCTATTGATATTTTGTAATCTTTAGTAGCTTATACATAACTCAAGGGTCAACGATACGTACTCGTGCAAATATCTCTTCATTTTAACATAAAGTGTGAACTCCAAAAATATTTTATCCCGATCTTCAAACAGTCTACGTATCCGGATAAGATTTCATCCAGTTTTGCTACTTAAGACTGCATGCGGTATAAGAGTAACGGTGGAAAGAAACGAAAGATCTCACGATAGAATAAATTGGTACTTGGGCAGGCATCCATAAATCTAAAGCTCCGCCAGTTCTCAAGTAGTTTCCTCTCGAGCGACCACTTCACTCGTGTCTCGATTTTGTTCTGTTTTTTTCCTTTCTCTTTCGCATCCTCATATTAATTTTTGCTTTTCACATGTGGATCACGGATTGACGGATTCGCTTGATCCCCCTTCAAAAATTCTCTCTCTCTGTCCTTTTCTCTTTTCTTGCTCCTTGGAATATTCCAATTTTTAATCCTTTGGGAATCAGTACCTTAATTTTCTCGTGGTTTCTCGAAATTTCAAAATTGTGTCATGTCATTCCTCGTTCCTCGAAGATCGGTTCTCTCAATTCGACGTCGCGACGCCTGTCGTCCACGTGGGTGGTCCGATGGCGCTGCTGCCAGTCAAAAATCCCTCTCCGTGGATCCAAATGCTCTCGACTGTGCTCGCGCCATTTCTTCTTCTTCTTCTTTTTCGTTTTCTTTTTCTTTTTCTCTTTCTCTTCTTCGGGAGCGCACACGCGGCAGCGCCCGCGCGAGGATGCTGGCTTTCAAGGAGCACAGAAGTCGCTTCTAACCGAATACCGGCACAACAGGCCATAGTTCGAAGCAAAGAGATCGCGCTCCAGAAATATACGGAGAGCGCGGCGTGTAAGAAGAGTAAAAAGGCGTGCCTACGTGGCGTCTGTGTGGATCGATCTCGTTTACACTTCACTATGACTGACGGAAGACGAACAAGAAGAACAAGAAGAAGTCTGCGGTGCACGGTGGAGGAAGCGTGGGTGGCGGCGTTTATCTCCTGTCGATCCGCGTTGTATCGAGATACAGAGGGAAGAGACTTACCCTCCTTAATCGAGATTAGGCCGTTCGCAAACCGGGATATTTGTAGAATCGTAGAAACACGCCGGTGAACATTTTTCGCCGGTATACTTCGCTCAAATTTGGTACCTTGTATACGCGTCGTGTCAAATTACATATAAATAAAATACGTATGGAATTTTTTTCAGATACGTTAAGTATTAGTTTTTAATTTGCAGAAGAGGCTAATATACAATAAATAATCTGACCATTTTTTTCCCTATTATGTTTAAAAAGCATATAGCTTTCCTCAAGAAATATTGCAACTTTATTCAAGATTTGTAAAAATATCAAATTAGATAATTGTCGAAAAGATTAAATTTAAGATTGAACCGAAGACTTACGAGAGTTTAAATGAACAATTTGCGGATCTCGACATGCTGTTGGTAAGTTAACACCATAAATATTACGATGCTCCATTCTCCGTAGGGTTAAGGCCGAATTAAGTCACCTCGTTTATACCTCCGATAAATATTTAGGCGATAAAAGATTCGAGCGCGCACTTGCTAGCACGCGGCTACGCTGAAGAGGCAAAAAGCTGCATTTTACGCGTGTTTTGTGATTATTTTTACGATGCGTCTATCTAGTTATCATACCGCCTTCGCCAAAGAAATGATTTCTCGTTAAAATATTACGACACAGAACATTCAAATCTAAGAAAATTTACGTACAGTTACATAAGCTGCAAATAAGATATTGCGAATCCGACATGATATTATAAAGTACGATATATATTTGCCTCGCATAGGGAAAACTGTCAAGTGTTTCGTTACCGTTGCCATAAAACGCGGTGTTAACGAGCGTTTTATTATCGCGTTGTCGGACGCAGACGCTGGCTAAATTAATCTCGCGAGAAAAGGAAACGACGCGCCTCGACGTCTCGGTCTTACGGCGGGTTACACGTGTTAAGTTACAAGGTACAAGTTACGAGCCCGAAGCGTCGTATAGGCGTGACAGGAACGTCGCCACGGTTAATCGTTTCTGTCAGCGGCGACGACGTGCACTGTATCCACCCATCCTGTGTATTCCATGATATTAATCTTTTTAACATGCTATTATGATCGCCCCCCCCCCCCAATTAGAATTATCTAAATATCCTATAATTCTTACTAACACAAATTATCTAAATACACTTTGTCATATATGTTTTTTATTTTGAAATGAATTGTGTGAAAGTAAACGTAGTACTCAGGATTCATTATATTTAATGTCGTGCATGTTTGCAGATATAATTATATTATTAAGGCATTACATATTTATTTAGCATCGTATATGTAATTAAAAAGAATTAAATTAAATCGAGGTAATATATTAGATACGTTCGTACAATTAAAATTATATACTGTCAAAGTGGTCGGACATGAGAATAATTTCAATCTGAGTGGATCGAGTGAGACGTATGCTTTCCTAATTAAACTTTACCTCTTCTACGCATTTGACGAACTTTGACCTGGTACACCCATGAAATTGTAGCTATAGAGGAAGGATGGAAGGCTCGAAAGAATAGTCGTACCGTGGTTTCACTTTGCAGGACACGGCGCCTGAAAGATCGTAAACTGTCTCCAATTTTCCAGATGGCCCCTGAATGACGTCGCGGACCCGTCAATGTTGCCCTCGCGATGCAAAGAAAGTTCAAAGGTCACAGGCACGATTTCGCTTCGTTGCATTTGTACGCGTCATGTTCTGCGGTCTCGTATTTTATTCAACTCGCACTTTTCAAAAATTTTTCAACAACGCAGAGCAGATAGCTTCTGACTACGTCCTCGCATTATCTTCAATTATCGCTCGCATGTAATTATCTTACGCCTCTCTTATGTTTAGATCGTTCCATGTTTCATTATTTGCAAGTTTTTTTTCTGTTTTCATTACACATTTTGTATATTACAATTTTCGTATTATTATATTATTAAAAATTACATAATTTAGGACTTAATATTAGTCCGTTTGTATATCATTAAAGGTTCAGAGATGTAATATTTTATAATGTTCTCTAAAAGGTTATTTAAATGTATAAAGTTATTTAAAAATTAATAAAAATTAAACTCATAAATAGTGTAAAAACAAAAAAGCTGTTCTAAAAATTATAACTTATTTGCAATGCTTTGGCAATTAATAACGCGATTAAAAATACGCATGTACCCAGCAGAATGGAAAATACCGCGAAGACTCACCGTGGTCCGCGGCAGGAGTCTGACATCCGCTGTGCGGCGAACTGACGTTGGTCAGAGGGCTGCTGTTACCAGGTTGCTCCTGCATAGATTGCATGGCAATGTTGACGTGGCCGGCAGCATTGTTGACCCCCGCGAGGCCGTAACCGACATAATAATCCTGTCCGGGCGCTTGAGTGGTGGGCGTCGAGTTGGCGCACTTGTAACCCATCATGGCCTCGTCTTTGTAATCAGCGTGATGCTGAGAATGATGTTCCTTTACCGTTGGGAATCCGTCGGCTGGCGGCCTGTAAGTCGTCAGCTGATCCTGGCCGCGAGCGCCGAAAGACCCGGGCTCGCTTTTAAACGTCACCAGCTCGCCGTTTCTGTAGACCGACGGGGTCGACTCGCTGCCGGTCTTGTACGTGACTTCGGTGGTCTTGTAGGTCACCTCGGCTATCGGCGGCGCGGACTTGTACGTCGTGGGTGGACCCTCCGGGTACGCCCAATCGGCTGACACCGCCGCGCTCGGCGCGTACATCGCGTACTCCTGATAGTTTTGATACTGGTTCTGATAGCCGTTCGCGTACTCGATACCGCCGGGTCCAGCGGCCAGATTCTCGTACGGGCCGGGCGTTTGCACGCCGACTCCGGGACCGGCGCCCGGAGAGTAATATTGCGTATACTGCGGCTTCAACACCTGACACTTGCGCCGAAAGCCGCGTGGTCGCCGCCGAAAACTGCCCTCCTCGAACATGTATTCGGTGGACGGGTCGATGGTCCAGTAGTGACCTTTGCCGGGCCGGCCCAGGCCCTTGGGCAGCTTGATGAAGCACTCGTTCAGGCTGAGATTGTGGCGCACCGAGTTCTTCCAGCCTTGATAGGTACCGCGGAAGAACGGGAAGCGCTGCTGAAGAAACGAGTAGATCTCCGAGAGGGTCAGCCTCTTGCCCGGACTCGACTGGATCGCCATCACGATCAGCGCGATGTACGAGTACGGCGGCTTCTCCTGGCGTCGCGCGCCTGGCTTCCTCGCCTGCATCTCGCTGCTCGTCGGTGTGCACATGAGCGGTTCCAAGCTCGTTTCCTGGGGCAAACTACCCGCGCCCATTGGCAGCACCGCCGATCGCGCGGCCACCGTCGACGAGTTCGGATGCACGACGACCGTCTGCTCTTGCTGGTGGTGCAGGCTGCTGGCGTCAGACTCGTTCTTCATGCTCAGCCGCACGCTGTCGGCGCCGACGTCGCGGGGCACCGACGGCACGATCACGCTCTGGTCCATCGAGCTCTGGTTTCCCGATCGTCAAAGTCCGCCCGTGACGAGCATTCTACACGCGAGTATATCTTTCGGATTTCCACGGCGCGATACAGGTACCACAATCTTCGAATACACTACGCGCGGCGGTAACGCACGAAAGATCGCACAAAGAACCGACCTTCTTTATCGCTACGCGATGTGTTTTACGCGAAAATCAACGTCGAGCCGATCCGATCGAGGATCCCATCGTTTCGCGGAGCAATGACCCCCGTCGCCGCCGAAGGGGGACCTTCGCCGCCTTCCAGTAAGCGCGACGCCGAGGTCGCGGATATTTACACGGTCGGATGTAAATTGTTTGCGCGATTCCGCCGCGGAGGGGTCAATTATTTAGACTTGCTTCGTCGGGGCGCGTAACAGGCTTACGTCGGGGCTCGAGTCGCTATGATGCGCCGCTAAGTGTTTTCGGATGACTGCCGCTCGCCTCGCACGGCACGGGAGCGGAATCTGGACCGCGTCGATGACGTTGATCGCGGCGTGACAGGGTCAGAAACGGGCGTCCCCCCACGTGGGCGGTCCGGGTCCGGACCAAGTCGGGCACCCGAGACTCGGATTGGCCGTGGGCTGATGTTCACGAAAAGCCGAATGTCGCGCCCAATGGCGTCCCGAACCGCCCTTGACTCCAACGTCTTCTCCTTCGGTCGTCACGGAATTATGGGGAAGTGAATTGCGTAATGGCGTTATTCGGATTCGTCAGTCGATGGTGCGTGACAGCGTATGGCTTATTACGTTTCGTTACACGTATTACAAGGATATTACACGTATCCTCGGTGCTGCAAGAAGAGAATGGGATAGGATCTGATATTCGCTTGAAACGAGGTGAAAGTGCACACCTTAAGAATTGAAGAAATACTTGTAAGAACCCGCATAAAAAAATACATCATTTTAGAACACTAAAAGAATCCAAAGGACGTCTAAAGCCCATATTCAGCCCGTTCTTATTTTAAGACCGTCTTAAGTAATGTCTTAAAATGCTATAATGTGGCTCTGTGATTATGAATGAACATCTTAAGATTATACTTAAGACGGTCTTAAATATAAGAACGGATTATGAATACCGGTCTAAGAATCATCAGGGATACCTCAAAATTTCGAAAACATTCGGAAATGCTCACTTAGTTTTTCACTAGTGGAATCTAAAGTTGAAGATGCAAATCAGACTGACATTCGTGAGAGAATGTAATTTTCACGAACAGTAAACAAGTTCAAAAAACGTCTAAAAGTGGTCTAAAAAATATCACGAAACTTTAAATGTGTTTTTTTAAATTGCGTTACGTTATGTGGTTCTATGGCTCCATCATGCATAATTGCATTTAAAGAAAAATAATAATCAAGATATGCCGTCGCTTTAGTAGATGATGACGGATCAAAAATACAATCCGAGCTTTTTTTGATAAAATTGTAATTTATAATGTTTATTAAATGTTATTATTTTGCGAAAATATCCAAGTCGCTCCAAGATCATCAATCCTATAAATCTTCACAATTCTCAAATTAAAAATCTGAAAGTATGTTAAAGTTCTATTTAAATTATAAATTTTTAAGGTTTTGTTTGTTTGTTTGTTTGCTATTTATACTTCACCGAAATATCCAATCGCTATAACTGAAGATCTATTTAAAAACTTGTTGATATATTTCCATAAAGGAAAAATTAGCTCCAGATTGATTAAAGTATTCGCAAATGTATACATTGATTTCAAAATATTGCGAATGTATTTGACTATTTAACGTCAGTTTATTGACGTAAATGAAAATTCCCACGACGAAGTAAACTGTAAACGAAGCGTTCGCCGATACCCTTTGCACAAGCGGATCGTACTTAGTTTGCTTGAAAATTGCAAGTGAGTATTGCTTCGTCGGATATCGCTATCTGTATACTTACGATGAGTAATGTATCCGTCTTCGGAACCGCGCGATGCACAGCCGCGAATGCATACGACGCGAAGATGAAGGAAACTATTGGTCCGTTTCTTAGCCAACGGGATACTGCGGGTTTTGCTCCGCCCGTTCGTAGAACCGCCTTAAGCTGTTTCACGACAGAGTCGTCGCCCGCGCCGTCGTAAAACGCCAATTTTTTCTTCGTGTGAAAATCTCCTATGCCGATTTTCTTCAAATTCGAAGCCAACATATTGCTGCTATAAAGCTTTAAACTCGACAAATAATTAAAGTTATTTATTTATTTATTTATTGCTAGCATATCGTCTACGTGTTTCAATTAAAACTTCTTTCTTCAAATTTTATTTTCGACGTTTTATCTAGAAGAAGATAATTAACTGAATGTCCGTCTGAATTTCTTTTAAACGGTCTCTTTTCCGCGAGGATTTCGAGAATTTAAAAATATATTTAAAAACATATTATTTCGAAATATATATATAAACTAATAAATTAAAATACAGATAACATTTTCAAATATATGTGCATTATTCAGACATCCAGTAAACATTTTTTTTCTTTTAAAGTAGTGGATAAAGAATTAACACATATATTTTGCCTTTGTGGTTTAAATACGATCACCAAGAGAAAAAAAACCGCATTTTTTTCAATAAAAAGATTAGGCTAATTCGATATAATAAAGGGCAAGAACGTCTTCTTAATCGAGGGAAAACCCGTCAAGATTTCAAATAATCCGACAAAGTTTAGAAGAATCTGATTAGAAAACATCCTGTCCGAAAGATCGGTTCTTTACTTGTTAAACGCAACTCTGTAAATCCAAGTGTGTAGATTTCTACATGCATAAACAGCATAAACGTTAAAAATAACACATTTGACTGAAGCTCGTTTTACATGTTTTGTTGCGTGTTAAATTAACACGTTTAATCGTATTAATACATTCAACCGTGTTAAATAACGTTATTTAAAACGGTAAGAAATGTGTGAGAAAAGCTTCAGTTAAAATAACACACTTGGATTTGCAGTGCGGATAATCCGATTTACATTATATCCAATCAATATAGATTCCAAGATCCTGATTAGAAACAGATATTACTTATCAGATTATATAACAGATTAACTTATCTATAATATGAAATGTTTAATGACCTCTTCTTCATAACTGTGAAGGCTAGAAATAATTTTCTGGCGGAGTTATCGCTGCGTGTGTACGTCTTCTAACGATGCTCATCAGGCAATCGTCACTCGATACCAAAGAGGACCGTCAGTGATCGAAGTGTCAATGTCGATCGATCGGGACGAGATGTTTATTCGCCTTCACGCGTGACCGAGTATCAAATGATGAACAACGACAGAAAGAGAGTTCATGCTTTATCACGGCGCCCTGTTCCACGTGCTTCACTTTATTGCGATCCTTGAGAGACTAGCCCGGGAGGGATGACACTTTCGAGCGGTCGTAAAAAGGAAATTTTACTCGCGTAAAATACGAGAGTTCGCCCCGCCCCCCCCCCCCCCATCGAGAGAGAGAGAGAGAGGCATTAAACGAAAAAGCAGAGATATTATGAAATTACGAAACGTATCAGATAAATCAATTTCTATAAAATTTATTTATTTATTTGCAATATGATAATTAATAACTTGTAATAATCGTCTACCATGTAAAAAATCTATTTAGAATCTTCTATAAAATTTATTTGCAATAACTGATAGTCACCCACCAGATAAGAAATCAATCTTTAATTTAGAAACTTTTACTCAAATTTGTAACAAAGATCAATAACCTCTCGATTGCAGCAATAATAAATATTTAATTTCTAAATATCAGGTGCAGGTTTTTTTTTAATCACGTCCGAGAAAGAAGACAAAGAGCAAGTAGATCTATTCTGTCAATAATTTGTTATCAGCCAAATTGGACATTAGAGAAATGATGGCCGAAGATGTTAAACCACACGGTGGATGCTGTAGACCACGAATTCTTAGGAGGAGTTTGTTTGCCTTAGAGCAAACGAGCCGACGAAAGAGGAGCAGCGCGGCCATCTTGTCTCTGTCTTCGTACTTCCTCTCTGCAAAGAGCGTCAGTTCTTCTCTCGTGATCTGCGTCATTCATCCGTTTTCTTGGCTCGTCTGCTGTAATTAGGATAACGAATACCGATGTTGATTCTTCATTTTAAGTTCTTCGGAACTTGAGAAATTCTATAAAAAACGGTTTACTTCAATACAAAAAACAAGAATATTCAATCAGTTAATTCAATCAGTCGGCACGCGAATATAATCTTTGTTCGTCAATACTAAAATAAGTTCATTTTTTGACTCCATACTTTTGCAATAATTATTTTTATATTTAGCTTTCTTATATGTTTATGTGTATATGTTTAATATTTAAAAATTGAAAGATTCTTCTTAACAACGTATTATTAAAAAATTTACATTACTTTTTAACGGGACTTAATCTTTAAAAAATACATAAATTATTAATTTTGTCATTCTGTGTCAATTGTAATTTTAAAACTGTCCTTAAGTTAAACTCAAATCTTATATAATTCTTTCACATCTTGTAACTCGAAAACATTGTGTTTCAAAGAATACAAATTCAGAACTCAAGATTGGATATTAGTAATTTGTGAACTTTTTTTACGTAAAGAGAACTTTCTCTGAAGAGAAATCTGTGGAAAAGGAAAAGGATATCCATGTTATAATTACGCTTAATATTTAAATGTCCTTAAACGAACATTGGCTAGAATCAGTGGAGACTGCTTATACGCGCCAGTAATGGGTCTCGTGTCTTAAGGGTTGAAAGTCAAGTGTTTTGGTCCTCGTGATGATCGCTCCTCTCCTCCTCCTTTAAACCGAAGAGCAACCCTCGTGTTGCACCGCCTGTTTACCGTTTTACTACTTTCGAGCCCTCCCGTGACATTTTCTGCGACAGCCTCAAGTGCCTCTCCAAGGGAAAGTAAATTGGCTTCCGCCATAAAAACCGGAGGAAAGTGGGAAGATGCGTGGCACATCTCGGGTGACAATCAAATATTTGTACACAAAATACTTGGATTGCTGACTCTAAGGGCCTCCGCACAATGAAAAATATAAGGAACGAGGAACAGATATAAGCGATTAGGACTAAAGAATCAAGAATAAAGTTGGATGCACGATGAAAAATACAGGCAACAAGAAACAGGGAATAACACAGATTTTTAACCTATCGGAAGCCGTGTATTAATGCTATACACCAGCTTTATTCCTGATTTCTTATTTCTAATCGCTAATATCTGTTCTTTGTTTCTTATATTTTTCATTGTGCGGGGGCTTCTATGCTATACAAGAAATGTATCGACATAATTTACCACTCCGTTGTTTTCATTAATTATTATTCGTCAATTGCTTACGATATAACGAAAAAATGTGTTTATTGCTACTCGAGCAAGATTTCGAAGAACTGCAGTCGGCGCGGCGCGGCGGATCGGTAGTCACTCGAGCGACTTTATTGCGAGGGTCGTGGATGCTTTATTTAAAATAAAAGCGCCTTAAAAAACGGGACCACCCCAGAA